GGTTCATTCCAAGATGCAATATTGTGTATTAAGGTATATTTAAAAAATGGTGCTTAAAGAAATCTAGAAAATTAAGTGCCTCTAAGTCTATTAATCTGTTACCTCTCTATTAGTCTGCTAATACCTTCAGACAGCATTGCTTTTGCATCTGGCCAACTGCAGCTGGATGCAGTTCTGCTCTCTGGAAAGCACTATCTTAATGTTAACTGTCAATGCTTTTCCAGGTTACTGGTTGGAAAAATTAATAATTGTCTGGATTCTTGAGTTCTGGACTTTCCAGAACAGGTTACTAGATCCTCTGCAGTGTCTGCACTCAAGTCTGCCTGTCTGAATTCTGCTGGACTGCAAAACATTTCTGGTAACTGCAGTGTTCTGCTGCGCCCGCTGCCTTCCCATCCCCTGCCTGTTCTTATCACCCAACGGCAAATGGGACAGAGAGGATGACGGAACATCTGCTAAGAGGTGTAAAGTGCTCAGTCTTGGCAGCATTGTTTTGAAGGAATACTGTGGCTAAACAGTGAAATTGGTTCTGTTAGTTAGAGGTCAAGCACTTTCCTGCTTCAGATCAACTGCAGAGAGCCATGGCTGGGCACAGTCAGGAAGTGCCAGTGGGTACCTGCTGTGGAGCCTGGAAACACCGTGGTTATCTGTGCCAAACTGCGCTGCCAGCGTTACAGACTGGCTCCCCATGGGGTCAAGGCAGCAACACTAGCGTGGAAATGGTCACTTTCCTGGAGCAAAAAAACAGCTTGTTGTTTGGCTTTTTCTAGCCTCCTTGTCGGTACTTTCAGCACAAAATGTTTCATGTGATCTTGATCAGGATCAGAGTCTCTTCTGAATGTAGTGTCCTGCAAGGTCTCTCCAAGACCAGTCAGCTGTATGGACTGAATTCCCTGAATCAGGCCAGAAAAGGAAGCGTTTGTTCTTTAAGTAAAGCCAGGGCTTGTGGAAAGCAAAGATGCCTGTGGATGCAGCAGCCACACCTGTTTAAAAACAAGGTTGTCCTGGACAGTAATCATCAAGACAGCCAGAGTGGGTATGTTTGGAAAGCTGCTGGGTAAACCTGAGTCCTGACTCCCAACCCTGTGCCTTCCCAGGCACTGCAACACTCATGACTGTGACAGAAGCAGTGCCTCTCACAGGGACTGCCTTTTGATTCTCCCTCCCAGCTGCTAAGGGGATGGGGAAGTGATGGAGCAGTGTTCTGTGAAACACACTTCAAAAGGGGTAGCAAGGGCAGCTCAAGCTTCTGGCTGTGGTCTCCATGGTCTTGTTTCTTGGAGGTTCTGTACAGATGATTTGCTGATCCTTGTAGTGTTTTGTCTGCTGCTGGCTGCCTTGGAGATGCAGGCTGTTATTTTAATATTTTTGAAATATAAGTGACTCATTTGACAGGTGGGTGAGTGAAGCACTTCCTGAACTCCCAGACTCCATGCCCTGCTCTCCTGTGCAGCCTCTCCATTGCTCAGGAGAATGCTTGCCTTCTGAGTCACCACTCCATTTAGGTTTGCTGCAAATGGCCTTGGAGAGCTGATGCATTTCACTGCTGATGTGTTGTGACATCCAGCCTTTCCTCTTTTATTCTTATCAACCATTCCTGTCGATCATGTATGCAAGTAAATGAAGTAGAGAACCTCCTAGTGAACCTCTGGACAAAATGGAGTTGTAAATGTCAATTCTTTACAGAAGTAACTGTGATCTTTAGATCACACAAAATGAAGGGAAAACTGCAGAGACTTCAGAAGCTGAGGATCTGTACCCCATTTCTGAATGCTTAGTTAAAACTGCAGAAGAAATGCTGGCTTCTGCTACTAGAGCTTGAAAGGTAATTCCTGCCACTTCAGAAAGAAATTACCCAAATCCTATAGAGCCAAAAAACCCTAAAATCTCTCCATGATTTTAAAAGGCAATAGAAGCAGGAGAGACTTGACCAACAGCCAGCATGTTGGACATCCTTGCCTCAGCACAGCAGGTGCACAAGGCATTTTAGAGTGCCACAGGTTTCCTCACTCTCTTAGGTGTTAAAATACTATTTTTCTGTGTTATCCTAAAATACTGGAAAACAAAACATGTTCTTGTGGGGAAAACTGGCACTATAGTATTGCTGAGCTCTAAGATTTCTGAGAATCCTTCAGCTTCCCCTGAAGTCTCCTGGCAGTTAATGGCTGGCCTCTTACACGCCTTGTTCTCCCTCATGCTTGCCCCCAAAGTTTCCCTCTTTTCCTAGCACCAGCCTGGCTCACAGGGCAGCGTTAGCGGAGCTGAGAGCTGGAGTGTTGTGTGACTGTGCGGCTTCCAGCTCAGCTGCACAGGGCTCTAGCAGCACTGCTACCACAGGGGTGTTTTGCTCACAGCAGTGACAATGAGAAGCTGTAGCCAGGTATTAGCTGAACTGTAGGGTATCTGAGGGCCATGTGCTTGCAAATGTAAGTTATCCCTGCTGGGGGAAAAAAAAATGGTGCTCAGACCAAAGCCCTCCCAAATCTCTACCTGCAGATCATGCTCGAGCTGCTTATCTCTCTCCCACAGTTGGGAACCCAGCCCCAGTGGGGTTTCAGTGCGTGAACTCTGCCACCCATCTGAGGTGGAGCTCTGGGCCAGCTGGTGGAGGCCGCAGCTGGAGAAGCTGTGACTGTTGGGAGGATGGAGAGTCTGGCCCCTGTGGCAGGGGGAGCAGGGGGAGCTGCGTGGGCTTCTTTCCCGGGGTTTATGGTGCTGTCAGCTGTCTCGGAGGCCAGTGTCTTTCTGCAGGTCAGAAGGATCAGTAGTAACGCTTCTGTCCTTACGGTTCTGTGTGCAGCAGGTGTTATTGGTACTTTTTCGAGGTGAATGTGTGACCATCCCTGATCAACGTGCTCTTTGCTTCGTGCTGGAACTTGCACTTTTGCTTGAGGACCAAGGCCCGTCCCAGCCTCAGGGAAGTTTTGTTATTGAATGTGCTGTGACATTCGGGGACGTGGAGGCAGGTTTTGCACACCCAGCGTTGCTGCCTCGGCCCCGGATCGCAGTGACCCATTGGGAATGGGGCAGGTACAGGGCCCGGTTCCCAACAGCCCCGAAAGCCCCAGGTGAGGCCCTGCGGTGGCTTTTCCTGGGCTGCTGTAGTCTCCATCTGTACCTTGTTCCTGTCACGATCGAACTGCAGCAAACGGGGGGTTGTCAGATCGAGGTGGTTTGATTTTCTTTTTTTTAACTGTATGGTTTTTGGTTTTTTGTGGGTTTTTTTTTCCCACCCATCATCTCCATCTGGATGCAAACTTCTGGTCTTGATTCTTTGTCCTCACTGAGAGTTCACAGCAGTTGCGCTGCTGGTCGAGTAAATACGAACGTGT